ATTCCCAAGACTGCATTTCGCACCCACGAGGGCCATTACGAATTCCTTGTCATGCCCTTCGGTCTCACCAATGCGCCCTCGACCTTCCAGTCATTAATGAATACGGTATTCCATGATTTCCTCCGTCGCTTTATGCTGGTATTTTTTTATGATATTCTGGTTTACAATGCTTCCAAAGCTGCCCATTTGGATCACCTTCGACAGGTCTTCTCTGTATTGTGCGCCCACCGTCTCTTTGCCAACTCAAAGAAATGTATCTTTGCTCAGCCTAGCATTGAGTACCTGGGTCATATTATTAGCGCGGTCGGTGTTTCTGCCGATCCTTCTAAAATCCAGGCCATGGTTAACTGGCCTCAACCATCTTCACTTAAAGCTCTTCACGGTTTTCTGGGACTTACAAGCTATTATCGTCGTTTTGTGCGTAACTACAATAAAATGGCATGGCCATTGACGCAGCAGCTTAAAAAGGATGCTTTCTCATGGAATGCAGAGGCTGAGAATGCATTTCAGGAGTTGAAACGAGCTATGACGACCGTACCTGTGTTGGCCCTTCCAGATTTTTCCCAGCCCTTCTTGATCAAGACGGATGCATCTAGTGTAGGTCTCGGGACGGTATTAATGCAGAATAATCGGCCTATAGCTTTTTATAGCCACAAGCTTAGCCCGTTTGCACAGTCAAAATCTGTCTACGAGCGGGAATTAATGGCCATTGTCTTTGCCATTAAAAAATGGTGCCCCTATCTTCTTGGAAGACGCTTTATTGTTCGGACCGACCAGCGTAGTCTCAAGTATCTGTTGGAGCAACGGATTGTCGAAGGTGAGCATCATAAGTGGCTTCTTAAGCTTATGAATTATGACTTTGAGATTTAGTACAAACCGGGTGTCGATAATACCGTGGCTGACGCCCTATCTAGAGTTCCTACTAAAATGCACTTAAACTCTCTTACAGTCCCTATTTTCCTTGATTTTGATGACCTTAAGGAGCAAGTTGATGCTGATCCTTTCCTGGCCCCCATCAAGCATGCCATACAACATGATACGACGTCCTATCCCGCCTATTCTTTAGTTGGAGAACACCTACGTTATCATGGTAAATTGGTTCTGCCGACTTCTTCCCCATTTATTCCCCTCTTACTGAAGGAGTTTCTTCCCCATTTATTCCCCTCTTACTGGCGGGGGATCAAGCGTTCTATCCAGAAGTTTGTGCAGGCCTGCGATGTGTGTCAACGCAGTAAATATGAAGCCATGTCCCCCGCTGGCCTTTTACAACCTTTACCCGTACCTGAACAGATCGGGAGGATATTGCTATGGACTTTATTGAGGCTCTTCCTAAGTCAAAGGGGTTTGACACAATTATGGTGGTGGTCGATCGTCTCTCCAAGTATGCCCATTTTATCCCTCTCAGTCATCCCTTAGCTCTCACGGTTGCTCAGGCCTTCCTGCACAACATAGTCCGTTTACATGGCATTCCCCGCTCGATTGTATCTGATCGTGATAAAGTCTTTATGAGCTTTTTCTAGCGCGAGCTTTTTACCCTGCAGGGTTCAAAATTGCGTCGTAGTTCAGCTTACCATCCTCAGACAGATGGACAGTCGGAGGTGGTTAATCGCTGTTTGGAGACTTATTTGAGGTGCTTTGCGACTGATTCCCCCTCCCACTCGTCATCTTGGATATCGTGGGTAGAATACAACTATAATACCTCTTTTCACACTGCTGCTGGCATGACACCTTTCAAGGTGGTTTATGGGCGCGATCCTCCTCCATTAATCCGCTATGAGCTTGGCTCTACAGCTAATGCTAATGTTGAAGTTGTTCTCCTTCAGCGAGATGCTATACTTAGGGAGCTGCGTTCTCATCTACACCGTGCACAACAAAAGATGAAAGACTTGGCTGATGTGAGCCGCCGTGATGTTAATTTTGAGGTTGGAGATTCGGTATATGTTCGAGTGCGACCTTATCGCCAACAGTCTCTAGCTCGTCGAGCCAATGAAAAGCTTGTCCCTCGATTTTATGGACCATTTGCTATTGTGGAAAGAATTGGCATTGTTGCTTATAAACTTCAACTTCCTCCAGAGGCAAGGATTCATCCTATTTTTCATGTCTCGCAACTCAAGAAGGCAATCGGCAATCATGTCTCTTCTCCTATGATTCCTTCCACTCTGTCAACTGATATGGAAATGCTGGTGGAACCTGCGGCCGTTCGAGGGGTGCGTCCATCCACTATGCCTGGAGTTACTGGTTCGGAAGTGCTTATCCATTGGCAGGACCTGCCTGATTTTGAAGATTCATGGGAGCCTTTTGACTTACTTCGCAACCAATTTCCTCATTTCAACCTTGAGGACAAAGTTAGACTTTGGGCGGCGGGTAATGAT